AAATCGGCTTACATCTAATTTGATTTTGCTAAATTATAATTTCATAGAATGGGGCTAAACAAATTCCGTTTGATTTATTTCGTTCCGGTGCGTGGTATTATTCATGATAAATTGGAAGCTAAGCGTCAACCGCGTTGCCTTTCATTTTCACTACAATTGGTTTTGGCCAGACAATCAACGCCGAAAACTAATCTAAAATTTCCCACCAAAAACTGAACCAAGGGGGCCGCCACCGTCGTAAATTAATATCATGGCGAAACTATAAAATTGAAATTATGGCAACATCCAACTAATGAACAGCGATAAAAATAAACACTGGAGCCTGGCTCTTGCAAACTGCCGGAGAAAGTTCGCCACTTGCACCTGAATGACTTTCGAGCCAGCTCCGAAACTATGTCAATACATTTTGAGCCTGGGTTCAGAGTCATTGCTTCGAACTCGTCCAAAGTTTCTGAAGTTTGCGATGCGAAACGTGTAGCATGCTCTTGTGCGTCTCTTATCGCAGTCGACTGAAATCCGACCGTTCTCACGAGCACTTCCGAAAGGTCTCAGAAACCGAAGGCACTTCGGAGCTTTGGTTCTCTTAGTTTTCCTGGCTTTGCAGACTCTCTTAGTGTGAGAGTGAGCAGGGGATATATTGCTTGCGCCGCGAAAACGAGATGGCAGCCATCAGTCCGCACCACTCGCACCTCGAAAGCTCCACGGCGAATGCCACTTGTGACTCCTGGGAACAACAATCCTTAACAAAGCAAACTGACTTTGAGTTTGTCAACAGGAGGAATATAAATAGGGAATTCGACGTTCAAAATTCCTCATCTACCCTAAAAAATAGAAGGCTTTAAAAATTGGAATCATTTTTTAATACTGCAGTTTGAGCAAACCGTAAACAACAATGCCAATAGATAAACAACTTTTAAATTTAAAGAGGATACATAAGTTCCAACTCTTAACAATATATCAGATTTATGTCTCAACAGTTCTTAAACCACATAAAGCAGCGATATTAAAAAATATAAATTATTTTTAAAGACTATAAAATATCCCGCAAAGTCAATTAATTATGTGTTTTGCAAGATTTCTAGGGCTTATCTATTATCTATTCTAAGTTCTCAGCACGGTAAGTTTAAGTTTGAATTCCTTTTTTTAAGTGTAAGACTTGTGTTTGTGTACGGGTGCGGGATGCACATGCAACATTTGGCATTGTTGGTAGGCGGTGTTGACTTGTTTCCTAGTCGCCGCTTGCTGCTTAGGGATTTGCGATGGCAAATGAAAGGGTGCAGTGGGGAGGGGGAAATGCATTTCAAGTCCGCTGGCCACCGTTGCTGTTGTTGTTGATTGTTTGTTGTTTGCACCGCTCACACGCACACCAACAACAAGGCGACAGCTGAGTGGGACACGTCTGAGCCTTTAAGCGGGGAAGAATGTGGGTTAATGGGTTTTTAGTTGCCCTTTTCATTACTCAACCGGCACCCACATACGCGCCAACTGCAAATTGTTGTGTTCTGCGAAATGCTAATCAAATTGCATTCCACCCGCTCCTTAAGACGCTACAGATATAGGTACGGCCCTCAAGTTTTAGCCAAAGTTTGATTGCCTTTCGGCCAGGGTAAACACCTGCCCATTGTGGCCAAAATCCAATAAGGCCCATATTCTCGCAAAGTTCTAGCCGCATATTAATGGCAACAGTTTCCTTTTTCACGCTCCGCTGATTAGCATGTAAAACGCGTAAGCTACGCACACCATAAAAAAGAATGACTAACGAGAAATATTACACAAAAAAAAAAAAACAATTCTATGATCGATTGGTTCAATTGCAATACAGTTATATACTAAAATGTTTCAGGTGTAAATTAGTAGGTATTAACTTATGATAATACAAAATCTAGTTTTCGAATACATAACACATTTATTACCTTTTTTCATATTTTTTAAACTCGAAGTGCAGTGCTCAAATAATAATCAATCTCCCAATTGTTTTAAATAGTGAGTTCAATAACTAACAAATTAGAACGCAAAAATTAAACATTTTATTAATTTTGTCAGTGCACATTAACCTTCAAGAGAGTGCACAGCTAATTCAAATTTAATTAAATGACCGCTCTGAGCACGTGGAAAACCTTCGTTGGGATGCGGCCAGGCGTTGGAAAATTCGTGGAACTCGTTGCGCCTTCCATCGCTAATTAAATTAGCAACCGTATGCATGCAGGGAACGATTTATGAATTACACTCCGGTCCGAAAAGGTGCAACATGGAATGGAGGTAAATGGGAAATGCTGCACCGACCAAACCGTAAAAATGCCACACAAAACGAGCATTTTCCTAATTGAACATGTGTCCGACATTCAGGAGCACACTATATGCAAGCAATGCAAACACAGACCCAAAGTACACCTTTCGCATTTGGTTTTTGTTCCCACTCCGGCGCTTTACAGTTCATTAATATTGCGGGGCTGCAGTGGGGAAGGTTTATTGGAAATTAAAAGCCAACTTCATTTGTGTTCTAGCTGTGCTTGCCTCACTCTCTTCCGTGGGTGTTTTCCCATTTCCCTAGGGCCAGCTAATTTAAATTTTTTGCTTGTTTGCTGCGGAATTTATGCTTGACAGAGGGTGGAGACCACACAAATTGAGGCATAAATTCGGTTGCATTTCCATCTTTTTTTCTTGTTAATTTAAACATTGCCTTGGCAACAAATATTAACTAATAAATATTCAAGCTCAGACTTTTTCCACGTCAAGGTAATGGGATAAATGTTTTGACAACTGAACAAGTAAGCTAATATTGTTAAGGTAATAACTGTGCTATACATAAATTTAATAAAAATTGCTGAATAGATAAATGCTTCCTCTAAAATTGTCATACAGTTTTATAATGAATGTAATGTAATGAATTAACCGGAGAGAAACGTTATTATGTGGAAAATAAAAGATTTTAGTTTTGTTAGTTCAGTCCTTTTTTAAGATACATAGTCAATGTTAATTTATATGTAAAACCAAATTTAAAAGGTGTTAAATTTACAAATAAATACTCAGGTTGCTCAAGTCAGCCTTGATGTTCCCTTAAATGGTTTTATATATTGTTAAATCCAAAATGTCTTAAATATTTAAAATTACATAAATGGTTAGCAATTAAGAAAAACTTTTTGCAAATTAAAATAAACCTTTAAACTATTTCTAAGTTAGCGCTTTTTGAAAAATTCCAAAACAAAGATATAGTGCTTTAAGTTAACCGTGAAGACAGAAATGTTTTACATTTTAAACCAAATAGAAAAAAACCGAGTATTTTAAAATGCATTTCCAGTTTAAAGCCCAGTCGTGGCATTTAAAAAGCCCATTTCGTAATAACTTTAATGACAGACACTGGAAGGGCACTCAAAAGTGTTTTTAATTTCAATTAATATACAAGGCTCGAGGGTTAAATACAGACCCGGTGAAATCGACTCACAAGTGACTCGGGTCCTTGACCAAGACTCAACTCATCTCAATGGCTCCGAACGGAAATCAACTCAAGTGGCTTCTGGCTTTGATGGCTGTCCAGTCGTCCATCTGCAGCTGCACGAAAAAAGAGGAAAAGTGGGCGCAGCTAAGGGGCGATCAGCAAATGCCTTAAAGTTGGGTTAGACTTTCGCTGCTGGCCAAGAAAATTAGCAGTGATACCCCATCGTCGGCTTAAGGGCTCCTGCGCCATAATGCCCTCATTAAGGGTAGCTAAAGTCAAAGTTTGAGCGCTGGAAAAGAGTGTTCCGACATGTTCCGAGCTGGAATGCCCTGCCCTAGCAGGAAAATAATTTAACAATGCTCAGGGACTGCAGGACGGAGTGGAGATGAGACGAGCATGGAGCATGATGACAATGAGGACCCTGGTGCATGCAGCTATGAAAATGGCAAAGTGCTGACCTAAGCCCACAAACAAAACGGCACACTACACGGACACACGCAGAGGACCAGACAACAAAAAAGTGTCACAGCAACTCAACACAAAAACTCAAATTCCGAGGGCTCGGGTCGAACACTCCGGCCAGTACTGAAACAGAGCCCGGTCATGACGAAGTGTCAGTGGCTCAGAGCAACGAAATCCCTATGTAGCCAGTGATAAGGCCAACTACAGAGCCACGTGTTTGCTTTTCAATTTGTGCCAGCAGCGGGCTGCGGAATTATGAATAGGCCGGCACAAAAACAAAGCGCCCAACAGAGATAGACATCGTGAATGGGCCAAGTGGAACGGCTTTCTGGAGGCGACGAGGAGCCAAGGGTTGGCCAAGGGGGCCATCGGGGGTCCACGGAGCGTTAGAGCCTTCATTGAAGCTAAACAGGATGCGAGGTGTGGCGGGGAGGGATTGGGATTGCAGGGACGGGATGTGAGTGGACGGGGTGGGAGGACCACGCTTCGATGCCGACAGCCAAAGGAAAACAACTTTTGCAAAAGTTGTACTCGATTTGTGTTCTACTTTAGAGCTCCTGTTCGTCCTCTTCTTTCCTGTTTTTACATCACTACTTATGGCAAGCTGCAGTGCATGAAATGCAAATGTTAATCTGCAAGGATTCAAAGTCGCTTCGGCTGAGCACACAAATTTCATGGAAGGCCCTCTGATTGCTTCAAAAATTAAGGTCCAAGAGTTCGAAATAAGAACTACCTAACCAGAAAATTAAGCTAAAAAAATTAGAATTATTTTAAATTTTTATTTTATAAATAGGATATGGAGCAGATTGGCTGATAGTTGTGTATTCAGTAGCAATTTATCAACAGATTCTTTTTTACTTAATAAAAGCATGAGTAGTATAACTTAAGTTTTTTAGGGCTTACATATTTAACATCTTTAATCATCCTATTTTACAACTACTTACTTAATTAATTTAGGTAACAGTAAGGAGTAAACACACTAGCATTATTTTGCGATTTTTATTTTATAAATAAGATATTATTTATATTATGCTACAAATGGTACAAATTCATAAGCATTTATTAGTTTTGAATTCAATGTCAGAATTTGTCAGATAAGTCAATAAAAATGATCTATTACTTTGAGTAGATTTTAAAAATTTTAATTTAAAAAGGACCATTTCTTACATACCCAGAGCCTAACACTCACATACAGACATACATAACAGTCCGAGAGTCACACACATGTAACAAAAATATACGATTTAATAGATCGAAACATAAAAACTCATCCACAGAGATACACATCCACCCAACACCAACCTTCAAAATGAGCGAATCGATTGAGCGCAAAACCCTGATTCAGGAAAAGAGAAAACTCATGGAGGAGAAGAGGATGAGCATGGGAATGAAGTCATTCTGCGCTTCTTTTGTCGGGACCAATTTCCGACTGAGTGAGGAGCCGCAGTACTCGTTCTCGGCCATGATAAAGCGGCATAAGGCTGATAACCAATTTGTTGATGTTAATTATGAGGACTTAGAGCAAGAGGAGTATGTGCCCATTTATCAAACTGTATTCTTTGACGACAAGGACCCCGTGCATGAACCCACATTCTCTAAGCACCGCATACCACTGTAAGATCGCCAAGAAAATTAATGTCAATCTTTCATATATTTTCCTCTTACAGGCAAATACGATGTCTGGAGCGGTACCACAATTCCAAGCGGGAGTACGCCCAGCAGTTCAAGCGCGAAATTAAACTCCTGATCGACAATCAGTCTACGGCCGAGAGTGCCTGGCAATTCGTAAGGTATATAAATAAATATGTTAAACAAAGAAACAATTCCCCGGAAATTCAGGAAAAGTTCAAATTTTATTTTATTGATGAAATTATAATTAAATAATTAACTACCAGAAAAAGATTTTATACAATATTGAAATGAATATCTTGATTTCATTTGATACGAATTACATTTCTTTGATAGTGCACAATGAGCTGAATCATTTTCTTAAATAATAAGGCACTCATACTAATGACTTTAATTACAACATTAATATTTTATAGGACAATGGCTTATACCACTCTTTGGCCGCCGCTTCATACAAGAAAAGAACTAAAGATTTTTGAAAAGGATTTTTGCAAACTTTCTCCTACTGAGCAGCATCGGTACAATAAAATAATGGCGACAAATTTTACATGAAGGCTCTGAAGTTACACATGTGAACTATTTATAATTCCAAGAAAAATATAATTTTAAGAACCTTAGTGTTTTAACCCCTTTCGATTTTTATGATTTTTTTTAATATTATTTTTTCAAATCAATTTAAAGCAAATTAAGTCCGAATTTGTTATCCGTGACCCACATTAATCAAAAAATGTTGAACCGACTTCTTGAAAACGATTTGAACACTTAATTTCGATTTTATAAAATAATGGTACTCAAAAGAAAAGTTACTATCTGTATATGTTTTTTAATCATTTATTAAATTTAAGATCAAGAAATTGATGATTTTTATCTCATAGAAGCTCAAATAATAAGATTTAAGCCAGGATGTTTCGGATGCTTTTAAAATTAAACGACTATATAATGGATAATGGATGGCTCGTACCAAACTCAACTTGATAATTATAAACATAATATTAAATAATTTATTATTTAAATTCTTAATTTTAATAAAAATATTTGTATTTCTTGGCTATAAATAACAAAGAACTGCTTACTTATTTATTTATTTACTATGTACTAAAATAAATGTTATTTTATTTATAATTTAAAATAGCGTTGCAAGATTGATATTACTAAATAATACGACAAAAGACAGTTGATTATTAAAAATAACGCGTTGAATTCTATTTGAGATATAACTGATAGTAAAATAACGTCGGTGGAAATCCAGCAAAAGAAAATTTGTGAAGGAGAAGGCTATGCCTTACTGTATCAATCGCCCTGCTAAAGTCAGTAAAAATATCATCAGCCTAAGATTTAGTAAGGAGACTGCGGTGAATAAGTGAACAAAAACATAAAGTACTTTTAAATTAACCAAATGGCCTGATAAAAATTACAGGCTTAACGACAAAATGTAAACTGTCTGAAGGTGGAGTGGCGAACACGTCCAATAGATTGAATTCAGTGTTCTAAAATATGATTCCTAAGATATGATTTGCAAGCCTAATTAACAATTAACGAATAAAACCTCTTTTTTGGTTAAAATTTCACAAATTGTTGTTAAAATATGCGCTTATTTCTTGCTCTTCATACCATATTGCTTTATTTCATTTTATTTTATGTGTTCAGTGAACAATTTTCTTTCTAATCTTCCTAACTATTTTATTATTTATTTGTTTTTTTAAGTATATTTTTATTAAAAAATTTAAAAAGTGTTGTGCTACCCATGTGGCAGCTTGACCAGGTTGTAAATATAATATTGCTAATAATAGGTATTAGACTTCTGCATGAATGTACTCATTTGTAGCATAACAGATCTGTACAGTAGTATAGTGTTCTTAAAAATACTGCACTCATTCTTTACTGTACAGATGAAGATAGCACAACATTTTCAGTGTACTTACTTCGAGTGAGTAGAATATATGGTTGTAGTCTTCGTGAGTGAGTACAGCATTTGTCCTTTTTTAAACACGCAGTGTGTTGACTGTGTACAACTGTGCAGATGAGTGCAGTCAAAAATTGCCACCACTGAAGACATGGTAAATAAAATAATGTTTCTTCATTCCAATATTAATAACTTGAATATAGATTCTTTAATAACATAAAATAATTGTTACAATTAGTTTTAATTAAAATATTAATAATTTCTAAATTCTTTATTTTATAATAAATACATTTGAAACGAAAATACAAATCAAATTCTATGACATACATACACACGATTTTGGATGCATTCATGCAGAAGTCTAATAGGTATAACATAATATACATATCACATTTCAATAGTATATATTTATAATACTTTAGAAATTTTAATTAATATATATATTTATAATTTTGAGATCTCTTTCGATGTCTGTAGTTCTCATGTACCAGGGGGCATTGCAAAGTAATCTAACGATTTTACTTTGTGCAACTCGAATTTTTATACCCGTTACTCGTAGAGTAAAAGGGTATATTGTATTCGTGCAAAAGTATGTAACAGGTAGAAGGAAGCGTTTCCGACCCTATAAACTATATATATTCTTGTTCAGGATCACTAGCCGAGTCGAACTAGCCATGTCCGTCTGTCCGTCTGTCTGTCCGTCTGTCCGTCTGTCTGTCCGTCTGTCTGTCCATATGAACGCTGAGATCTCGGAAACTATAAAAGCTAGAAGATTGGCATTTTGCATGTAGATTTTAGGAGTTCCTACGCAGCGCAAGTTTGTTTCAAAATGGTGCCACGCCCCTCTGACGCCCATAAGCCACAAGCTGTGGCCACAGATTTGATGATATTATGAAAATTTTAATTGATATGTATTTGTTTCGTCAATAAATATCGATTGGCCTAATAAAAGTTTGCCACGCCCACTCTAACGCCCAAAATCCCATTAAACGCTTAAGCCTGGCTAGCGCCTACATTTCCGCCTTTCATGGCGCCATCTAACGGATGACTTTGGAACAGCTGGCCAAGGTGCTCAACAGAGTCAACGTTAATTCTCGATAAGGATTTCTATTAAAGGAAATTGCGATGGTTTTCATTTGTCAATACCGAACTATATCCCAAGAACTATGCAAATCAACTCTAGTTAGCCAAATTTGAGGTCTGAGTCAAACAATGGCGTATGTGTGTATGTATGTAAGCATATACATATGTATGTATGTATTTACATTGTACACAGTTGCAATTGCCCGGCAATTATAATATTAAGTTGTTTAGCTGAGTAACGGGTATCTAATAGTCGAGGCACTCGACTATAGCGTTCTCTCTTGTTTTAAGGTTCGATTTAGCCGTTAGCCGTAGACTTGTAGCTCGTACTTCCATATTGGGCTTAAGATGTTTGCCAGTGAGAGCTTATTTCTCGGAGACAGGAGCCACGACATCTTGGCTGCCTTTGAAAGCAATGACTGCTTGATCATTATTTTATGTCTCTGAAATGTAAGTTCTCTGTCCAAAATCACACCAAGGTACTTATAAAAAGTCTCGTGACGAAAAGTAGTGCCAAGCATAGTGATTCCAGTCAAAAGGTCTTTTCGCAAATGTGACACAAGCACATTGGCTGCAATTAATGCCTATGTTCCATTCAGGTGTCCACTTTTCGAATCGTTACATACTCCTGTTGTTGCAATGTCTATGCTTGTACTCCTGACCATCACCGCAGAGTCGTCGGCACACGTTGCAATAAGCATGTCAACTACATTCATAGGAATCAGGCATATCTAAAGTATACAGCGAAAATAGAGTCGGGCCCCATATACTGCCTTGGGGTACGCCTGCGGAGATAGGACGTTTGGACGACTTCTTACCGTCGACAACTACACTAAATTCCCTATTTGATAAAAAGCTTTTGATAAGGATAAAAAGCTGGGCCGTTAATAGAGTCTTTAGCTTGCTCAGAAGACCATCATGCTATACCCTGTCAAAGGCAACTGTATACATTTTGTGCTCCATAGCTTCCAAGGCAAAGTTTACCCGGTGAAACCAAACTGCCACTTTGGAATATCTCTACATGCGATTTCAAGTTTAAGAACTCGATCCAGTAAACAATAATTTTATTATAACCATTTCCTGACTAAATTGGTGATGCATATCTTTCGGCGAAAAATTTCTTGTCTAGGCAGCGTTAGTTGCTCTGAACTGGTAAAAGTTGCAGTTCTTGTTGCTAATTTGTTTTAAAAGCCAATTTTTAAAAACATTTAGTTTGAGTTAAAATTTGAGGAATCTTAAGGCTTTTATACTTTAAAGAACATTTTAAATGCAGGAAGCCAAAAAAAGATAAATTTAAAAAAAATGTAGCTAACATTTTGTAAAATGTTAAAATGTTAAATGTTAAAATGTTAAAAAAAAATATTTCTGTTCTTAAAAAAGAAAAAATAAGAAACAAATTTTAGACTTAAGGCCATATTCAAATATAATTTTGTTTTGTTTAAAGGCGAAAGGTAACGATTTTTATGAGTAAGCCTCGATTATTAAAGAACATTAGTTTTGAAATTGTCGCAATTTACATCATATGTATCTCAGCAAAAACTTCAACATATTCGTGTTTCAAATTCCAAAGAGAACGTATACAGCTCTCAGCACTCTTAAAGCTTTTTACCGAGATCTCTTTCTCAGCTGGAACAAGCTAAGCCTGAGCCTCTCGATCGGCTTCGAAGCTTTACTCGCGACCTCTCTCTACCGCAATCTCTCATTGATTATCATCTCCAGTCGTATTTAAAGGTCTCCCATCCGTCAGCTCGCGATCAGTTGTCGGGGCGTCTCAAAGGCGGTTGTAGTTTAAGTTGCCTTCCCGGTTTTCTGGTTCGAGGTCGGAGTGCGTAATCGCAAAGACGCGTTTTGATTGAATTAGCTGGAAATTGTGTTATTACGATTGCGGGAAATATCCCATACGATGAAGTCAAAACTCCAAGTAATTTGGATTTTTTGGACAACCTGCCTTCTGCCGTTGACCGTTCTACAAAGTGCGCATGCCCAAGGAAGTTAGTACCAAGTTGCATGTGATTCACTCAGAGCTGACTCATTAATTGTACTTATCCAAGCTAAGCTCAGTATCTGAACTAAGATTCAATGTGATTGTCAGACTCGATTTTAACAACTTTCCCATGTCAATGACTTAAAAAAGTGCCCTTGTGTGCGAATACTGCTGAATGAATTTAATGGGTACAATCGTCCCACAACAGATTACATTATCAAGCTATTTGTGTTTTTATATTAGTAACTTATATTATTCTACACAGTACTCAATGTTATTTTATTTAAGACAGTAATTATAATAATGTTAAAGATAATGTAACTCAAATTTCAAAAATATTATAATTTGAATCTAAAGTATGCCACGCTGTGATGAATCCATCCGCTAGCCAATGAAGTACCCATCAAAATTATTGATAAGCTTAACCTGGGGTACCAATATAGAGATGTCTGTATGATTCACAAAACAAAATAAGTTATTAAATATTTTCGTTTGAACTGCCTGGGTATAAACGTTCGGGCTTTCCAAAGCAAGCTTTGTTTTCTTGTTTAATAAAAAATGTAATTGATTTTTTAAACTATCTAATCTACTGCTTAGTCTGTCGAAATCCAAACCAGACTCAGGGAAGATGCCTGTCTATCTACGACTGCCCAAGTCTGCTTTCCCTGGTTCAACAAGCTGTTGTAGGTCCGGAGGACAGGCTGTTTCTTCGCAATTCCAGGTGCTCAAATGGAGTGGGCCAAACACCATATGTTTGCTGCACAAGTGATCGGGGTATTAGAGCTCAGGAAACCACCTCAGCGGCACCACCAGTGACGCCTACCAGTTCAAGTCAGCAGGGTCAGCAAGGTCAGGGCAACCTGCTGCCCTCGCCACCCAAGTGTGGGCCGCATTCCTTCAGCAACAAGGTCTATAATGGCAACGACACGGCTGTGGATGAGTTCAACTGGATGGCCCTCCTGGAGTATGTAGATCGTAAGTTCTATCTTAGGTGATATGATGGAGTTGTTACTAAATGGATGTATTTCTCTCTTCAAAGGTAGAGGACGTCGTGAGCTCAGTTGTGGCGGCAGTCTGATCAACAGTCGCTATGTCCTCACAGCTGCCCATTGCGTCGTTGGGGAAGTAGAAAAAGAAGTGGGTCGCCTGTAAGTAATAACTAAATGACTCAAAATCCTACAGATTCTGTAAAGAAGGAAAATTAAATAATACAAAAATACTTATTTTTAGTTAAATAAAAAAACAACGAAGTATAAATTAATAATGTAATATTAATAATAATTAATAATATGACATTATTTTCAACATTCATTTCTTTTTTGACTCTTTCAAAAAACCGTAATTTACAAAATCCATTTTGTTTGTACTGAAATGATTACTATTTGTGTGTGCCTGTAACAATGGCGTCGAACACATAAAGACACAATGTATGTCTAAAGCATAAAGTGCTTTTCATGTCATTTATTTTAAACTAAATTCTCTACGTTTTGTTTGGCCATAGCCCTGCACCAAAATGACCAATGTTGTGGAGTATTTTTGAGTACAAAAAATAAGATTCGAACTTAGTGTGAAATTTTACAATCTTGTTTTTTACTGATAAGTAATAAACAAATTTTAAATGCAGTTGTGTTTTTCGATAGTCTACCATATGAATTAACTTCGTATTACTATTGTCTTGTTTAGCTCAAACTTTATAAATGGAATCAATAACTTTGCAAAAAAAATTATAGCCCTTAAACTTTTGATCAGAGTAGGATAAAAGGATTTATTTTATTAGCATAGCAAAGAGACTTCTACACCACAATAAAGACTACTAATTTTATTCCAGCACGTTTTTAGAAATCTAGGTTCATTTTATTAGGCGCGCTTTGATTAGTTATACCCGTTACTCGTAGAGTAAAAGGGTATATTGTATTCGTGCAAAAGTATGTAACAGCTAGAAGGAAGCGTTTCCGACCCTATAAAGTATATATATTCTTGATCAGGGTCACTAGCCGAGTCGATATAGCCATGTCCGGCTGTCCGTCTGTCTGTCTGTCTGTCCGTATGAACGCTGAGATCTCGGAAACTATAAAAGCTACAAGATTGGCATTTTGCATGCAGATTCTAGGAGTTCCTACGCAGCGCAAGTTTGTTTCAAAAAGGTGCCACGCCCCCTTTAACGCCCACAATCGCTTAAATACGATTTTAAAAATTTAAATATTTCGGAAAAGTAAAAATGCAGTTATATTGTGTTTATCAATACCTATCGAAATGTAGAAGAAATTTTTCAAATCGGACCATTCGTTAAAAAGCTATGCGTGATCAAAGTTTCTATCTCCATCTCCCTCGCACTCCCTTTACCTGAGTAACGGGTATCTGATAGTCGGGGCACTCGACTATAGCGTTCTCTCTTGTTTTAAATTGTTTATTTGAAGTTGAATAGGTTTCTAAATTTGACTATTGGATGATGTTTAGTTTAAAACGAATTTTTGTGATTTATTATGGCCTCTACTGATTTTATATAATTTCACCGACATGTTTTGAAGAATTTAAGTAATTAATGTTTCTGTTTTCTCTTTAAGTTTATTTAATATTGTATATCAAAATGATTTGAACAAAATCAATCTGGGAGTTGGAGCTTATACCATTTTTCGTTTTCCCGTGTTAATGAAAAAATTAATTAATTGAACTGACATATTTCAGCACTACTGTTCGACTGGGCGAATACGACACCACCAAAGACATAGATTGCATAGATGACTACTGCAACCAACCTATCCTTGAAATGGGAATTGAACAGACCATAGTGCATCCTCAATATGATCCTGCCAACAAGGACCGCATACACGACATCGCCCTATTGCGACTCGATCGGCCCGTTCTACTTAACGAGTATATCCAGCCAGTGTGTTTGCCTTTGATCAGCACACGACAAGCCATCAATCCGGGTGAAATTTTGGTAGTCAGTGGATGGGGACGAACCACTACTGGTGAGTTTAATGATAAAAGCCTTAAAATGGCGAGGACCTAAGACGTACTTAAATAGTGCATAGCTCTTGAATAACTTTTCGAATTTATAAGAACACAAAAAACTAGAGTTCTTCTAAGACTTTACTTTTGTTTAACTGCAACTGGTCCTATTAAAAGAAGGGTCCTTATTAAATAACGAATTTGACTACTAAATTTTTTTGCTGTAAATTATTATATATTATTATTATAATTATTATTATAATATTATTTTACGCGCTTTGTTTTCATTTGTTTATTTGATATTCAATAGGTTTCTTGACTTTCAATTGCACTTTGGTTGGAAGAGATTTTTTCTGATAAACCTTATATATTCGTTAGATTTTTTTTCCACCTTCTCAGTGAAATAAGAAAATTGGAATTGCAAACATCTTAAGTCTGGCCAGATTTATGGCAACTTTGTAAAGCAAAGTTTATTTGCCCTTGCTAGTTTAAGATAATGTCTTTTTAAACCAGTCAATTTCCTAATTAGTAATTTTAGAGACCAATTGGTGATACTTTTTTAAGCTCCCGACCATATGAACTAGCTTAAGAAATAATATTATTTTTTAAATAATATTATTTTTTTACAGCCCGAAAGAGCACGATAAAGCAGCGTTTGGACCTTCCGGTAAATGAGCACGATGCCTGCGCACGGAAGTTCGCCACGCGCAATATCCACCTGATCAGCTCGCAGCTCTGCGTCGGCGGGGAATTCTACCGGGACAGCTGTGACGGGGATTCCGGAGGACCTCTTATGCGGAGGGGGTTCGACCAGGCTTGGTACCAGGAGGGCGTCGTGTCCTTCGGCAATCGCTGCGGACTGGAGGGCTGGCCGGGAGTCTATACACGAGTTTCCGACTATATGGACTGGATCCTGAACACGATTCGACCCTGAGGAGCGCAACGAAGGCCGCTTTTGTTCAAATGATGTTTTAATTAAAGTCAAGTCGAGAGTGTTTTTCGGGTCTGGGCGCCCATCTTTTAATTAACTTGCATTCAATGCGATTTTATCAGCTGCTGTTGCCCCGCTGCGTATACGTAATGCGCTTACAGCCGAACGTTTGCGGTAATTAAAACCGGTTTTCCCCGTCCCCGTTGGTAGGAGTCGAGTGGAATAACTTTCGAGATGCGGCAAACTTGCCCTGCAGCACCTTCTTAGCGCTCTCAACGATTTTCTATGCAATTTGGCAATGAATTTCTATTATGCAAGCAGCGCTTTTCCAAGTATCTCGCGCTTCCCATCCCCAAGCTTGCACTTGTTTGCTGGCTGATTGCATTGCAGCAGGCGTGGCGAGGCTGGAAAACAAAGTAGACAATGGCTTGGCCCATTAATTGTGTGCGCGCAGAAAGGTTAATGATGCCTGCAGGAACCAGTTAGCACGGACAAAGGGGTGGTGCGCCTTTGTGGCTTGGGTTTCTTGACCAAATTCAATGTACAAAGTTTAATGGAGTCCCAAAAATAAATATAATAAGTATGCAAGCATTTTAAAGATACTCGGAAAAGGTAAACTTTAATATTTAAGTACACCACCCTCAATATTAATAAACGGATTTTCAAATCTTACAATTTTAAAATAAGTTGCATTGTTTGGTTTTTGGCGAATGCCATGCAAACGCAAAACCAACTCACCCACCCTCGAGGATAGTTGAAATAAAACGATTAAATGTTGTGTAATAGACGCAGATGTGCCTTAAATTATCTGTATTAACATAATTTGATGTCCCATAAAAATAAGTTTCTCAATTAGAAATATCGATTTTAATGTCAAACATGTATATATGAGGATATAAACATTTTGCTTAAATTTAAAGGCGAAAATTTACCATGAAGCGATATGCAGATAACAAGGTACAAGGTTCTATCTCCAAACGGAATGACCAAATTATATTCTTTTTTGTACCCGTTACTCGTAGAGTAAACGTGAATATTGTATTGTTTGGAAAGTCACGGGTAGAAAAAACATTTCCGACTCTATTTAGTATATGTATTCCTGATCAGGATCAGCAGCGCAGTCGTCTTGTCCATATATCTGTCCTTATGATCATCAAGCTCTCGGAAACTATGCTCTCTCTTAGCTTGTAGTATAGACACTGGATTTAATAATCCAGGCCAGTACATAAAAAATCACTATAGAGCAAATAACATTTCACCTTTATTTCAGCGTTATCTTGTTAACGTGTAAGAATATTGTCGGTGCTTTTCATTTTTTACGATGTGGACTTTATTTATTTTTATACCCTTGCAGAGGGTATTATAATTTAGACATCTCCGACCCTATAAAGTATATATATTCATGATCAGGATCGCCTCCTGAGTTGATATAGCCATGTCCGTCTGTCTGTTTCTACGCAAACTAGTCTCCCAGTTTTAAAGATATCGAATTAAAACTTGGCACACACCCTTGATCAAGGTATGCGTAAATAAATAAGACTTGGAAAAATTCATGTCAATAGCCTTTACACAGCGTTAAATATCATCAATTCTTGAAAGGTATATCCGATTGTTCCTATGGGAGCTATAGGATATAGACGTCCGATCGACACGCGCTTTTACCTTGATCAAAGAATGCATAAAAAAATACGATTTGGAAAGATTCCAATTCCGATTGTTCCCATGGGAGCTATAGGATATAGACGTCCGATCGGGGCTATTTTCAAACTTGATCTGCGTAAACATGTTTTAGGACGACTGTGAAAGATCGCTAGCTTTTAAACTGATCTCGCAAACGGTATTGAAACAGACGGACAGACGGACATGGCTATATCGACTCCCCTATTGATCCTGAGGGTCGGAAACGTCTCCTTCACTGCGTTATTTCGTAGCAAGTTTTAAACGAAAATATGTGGCAATTGAAAGTGTCCGAACTTTTTACTTTTTAAAGTTTAAATATTTAAACTGGCTTGGGCATAGCCTAATACTGAATCGAGACACATCTAAAATAAATCTTATAAAATCACAATAATAAATTTAGATAGTTTGAAATGTTTTTCCAAGTGCAGTCAAAAAAATTTGTTTTTAGTAAGTATATTTAGCAGGTATGGATTTTGATCGCTTTTTATATTCGGATGTTGATGCACTGTGATCACCGCAAACAAGTGGCCCTTAAGACACCAAGCAGTGCTTGTTACGCGCGGAGCATAATAGGCGTAAAAACGAGATCGCGAGAAGTTAAAAAGCACAATTCTCAATTTTGGGCATTCCTATGGTGTGAAAGTACCTAAGTACATAAAACAGCTTACTATATTACATAAATGTTCCATGTGGCTTACTGAAAATGTCGTCTCAAAAAGAAATGGTGGTGCTACAAGAATATGTACTTCAAATAATTGGAAAGACAGAACCCCAACTAAAAATATTAATAACGAGGACGGAAGCTAACTTCGGCAAGCCGAAGTTTTAATACCCTTGCAGACTTTCCCGAAATTGCTAAGCCTGAAAAAGTTGCCAAAGGAATAAGTAAACTAGATTTGCATCGTTTCATGTCAATTGCTTTTATACTGCAAAAATGTCATATAACGAGGACGGAAGCTAACTTCGGCAAGCCGAAGTTTTAATACCCTTGGAGACTTTGCCGAAATTTCTAAAAGTGAAAAAGTAGCGAAAGGAATAAGGTAGACATAAGTAAACTAGATTTGCATCGTTTCAAGTCAATTGCTTTTATACTGCAAAAATGTCATATACAAATAGAAAAAAGGGATACTTTCGCAGCCTTTAACAATTTTTCCTATCTTATTTAAGATATAGACTTCCGAGCGGCAAGCGCTTTTACCCTAATCAAGATATGCGTAAATAAATAAGAATTGGAAAAATTTATGATAGTAGCTTACACACTTCGCGAAATATTCTGATAATCATTAAATTTGGACCGATTTCACCCTATTGTTCCTATGGGAGCTATATGATATAGACGTCCGATCGGCACGCGCTTTTACCCTAATCAAGGTATGCATAAAAAATACGATTTGGAAAGGTTTATGTTTATAGCTTTTACACTGCGCGAAATATCTTCCATTCTTGCAAGTCATATCCGATTGTTCCTATGGGAGCTATAGGATATAGACGTCCGATCGGAACGCGCTTTTACCTTGATCAATGTATGCATAAAAAAATACGATTTGGAAAGATTCATGTCAATAGCTTTTACACTGCGCGAAATATCTTCCATTCTTGCAAGTTATATCCGATTGTTCCTATGGGAGCTATAGGATATGGACATCCGATCGGGGAGGTTTTCAAACTTGATCTGCGTACACTTGTTTTAGGACGACTGTGAAAGTTTCAGATCGCTAGCTCGGAAACGGTATTGAAACAGACGGACAGACGGACGGACGGGCAGACGGACAGACAGACAGACGGACATGGCTATATCGACTCCCCTATTGATCCTGATCAAGAATATATATACTTTATGGGGTCGCAAACGTCTCCTTCACTGCGTTACAAACTTCTGACCAAAATTATAATACCCTCTGCAGGGTATAAAAAGAAAGGAAGCAAACTTCGGCAAGCGACTACATTTCGATTTCTATGCATATTTCTAAGGAATAGAAAAACAGAAATATACAAATTTGTTAATTTTTATTATACCCGTTACTCGTAGAGTAAAAGGGTATATTGTATTCGTGCAAAAGTATGTAACAGCTAGAAGGAAGCGTTTCCGACCCTATAAAGTATATATATTCTTGATCAGGGTCACTAGCCGAGTCGATATAGCCATGTCCGTCTGTCCGTCTGTCTGTCCGTCTGTCCGTCTGTCCGTCTGTCTGTCCGTATGAACGCTGAGATCTCGGAAACTATAAAAGCTAGAAGATTGGCATTTTGCAAGCAGATTCTAGGAGTTCCTACGCAGCGCAAGTTTGTTTCAAAAAGGTGCCACGCCCCCTTTAACGCCCGCAATCGCATATATACGATTTTAAAAATTTAAATATTTCGGAAAAGTAAAAATGCAGTTTTATTGTGTTTATCAATACCTATCGAAATGTAGAAGAAATTTTTCAAATCGGACCATTCGTTAAAAAGTTATGCGTGATCAAAGTTTCTATCTCCATCTCCCTCGCACTCCCTTTACCTGAGTAACGGGTATCTGATAGTCGGGGCACCCGACTATAGCGTTCTCTCTTGTTATATTAAGTTGTTTAGCTGAGTAACGGGTATCTAATAGTCGAGGCACTCGACTATAGCGTTCTCTCTTGTTTTTTAATATTTTTTTTTTGTCTATGGGATGATGCCCGATTTTAATTTAATTAAGCCCGTAATGCCGTAGTATTTAAATATTACCAAATCCAAAAGAAACAAAAACAAAAAATTAATTATACCTTTTTTAATTTTTTTTTATTGTTCCTATGGGAGCTATACTTATACATTACCTGAAATAGAAAGACAACTTTTGGAAAAGTTTCAAGCAGATAGCTTTACAACTGAGGGGCTAGTTTGTGTAGACACGGAGGGACGGTCGGACAGACGGACGGATCAAAAATATTGGGTAATACTCTAAAGGATTTTAAAATCATGAATCCGTTCGCAAGTCATTGAGTATCAAAAATGACCTAATCATTTTTTTAACTATAGTAAAAATTCTGAAAGCGCTGACTTTTAGTAACATTCTCGTCGACATGATCAGATTCAGCATTATTTGCAGAACCTTTTTGTTTCAAACCCAAATTAAACATTATTCACATATGAATTTTAAAAATGTCATGTTACCCATTTCTGAAAATACGCCAGCCATCAATGAAGCCTGACATAACACTCAGTCAACATTTACACATAAGTATAATTAAAACAAACATACTCAATTCCACTGTACGAAAAAAAATCACCTTCAGAGATAAGCATCTATATAATGGCAACTTTCAAAATGAGCCATTCAAGTGATCGTAGAACCCTGATTCAGGAAAAGAGAAAGCTCATGGAAGACAAGAGGATGAGCATGGGAATGAAGTCTTTCTGCGCTTCTTTTATTGGGAGCCAATTCCGACCGAGTGACGAGCCGCGATACTCGTTTTCAACCATGACGAAGCGCCATAGGTCTGATAAGCAATTGGTTGATGTTAATTATGAAGAGACAGACGAAGAGGTATACGAACCTATTTATCAAACTGTATTTGCTGACGACAGGGACCCAGTGCACGAGCCCACTTTTTCTAAGCATCGCATACCACTGTAAGATTTAAAGAAATACAACCAATCAGTGATAAAACTTGAATAAATTTTCCTTTTCCAGGCAAATACGATGTCTGGAGCGGTACCACAATTCCAAACGGGAGTACGCCCAGCAGTTCAAGCGGGAAATAAAACTTTTGATCGACAATCAGTCGACGGCCGAAAATGCCTGGCAATTCGTTAGGTAACCACATATTCCATAAATTTGTCATAGGTGCTAAATAGGGTTAAAAAAAAAACTTGTAAATATTTTAAAAAACTTGTTAATATTTTTATACCCTTGAAGAGGGTATTATAATTTTGGTGAAAAGTGTGCAACGCAGTGAAGGAGACATCTCCGACCCTATAAAGTATATATATTCTTGATCAGTATCGCCTCCTGAGTTGATATAGCCATGTCCGTCTGTCTGTCCGTCTGTCTGTTTCTACGCAAACTAGTCTCTCAGTTTTAAAGCTATCGAATTGAAACTTTGCACACACCCTTCTTTCCTTTGCACGCAGTATATAAGTCGGAACGGCCGGGATCGGCCGACTATATCCTATAGCTGCCATATAACTGATTGATCGGAAATGCAATAACTTTGGTGTTTGTGAAGTTAGGAAGTTGGGATTTTCAATGGGTTTTATATTTGGCCAATCAATCCGACCTACCAAATAAGGATCGGCCGACTATATCCCATAGCTGCCAAATAACTGAACGATTGAAAATGCCATAACTTTGGTGTTTTTAAAGTTAGGCAGTTGGGATTTTCTATGGGTTTTATATTTGGTTAATCAATCCGACCTACTAAATTTCATAAGGATCGGCCGACTATATCATATAACTGAACGATTAGAAATACCATAATTTGGTGTTTTTATAGTTAGGAAGTTTGGATTTTTTATGAGTATTAAGAATGCATCATATGAAGAATTTTGGAGAATATAATTTACACAATATTCTGCAAGGGTATATCAACTTCGGCTCCGCCCGAAGCTAGCTTTCCTTTCTTGTTTTTAATTTTTTTGTTTTTCTTTGGGTTTTGGTAATACTTAAATATTAGGGAATTACGATTTGAATCAACTGCTAGGATTTATAAACATCGGCTTGCCGAAGTTTGCTTCCTTTCTTGTTTTTTAATTTATTTAGATTTAGGATGATTTCATACACTTTGAGTAAATTAAGTTTTAATTGTTTTTAAATTCAACCAATTAGGATAAATTTCGGATTTTGAAAATATAATGAGTTAACAAGAATTTAATATTTTGTAGGACCATGGCTTATACCTCACTTTGGCCCCCGCTGCATACGAGGAAAGAGCTCAAAATGTTTGAAAAGGACTTTTGCAAGCTTTCTCCCACTGAGCAGCACCGCTTCAATAAAATAATGTCGACAAATTTTTGTTAAAGTTTTCATGAACTTTTATACAAGTAATATTTTTTATGACAAATAAAATTGGACATATTAAAACAAAGAAAAAGAATAAAATGTATAAAACGCTTAAAAAATTGACGTAAGCGGAATAAAGAATAAAGACTTCTTATCTTGGAACATAAATCTTGCAATGATTTATTTATCAGAAAAACTAATATTTATATAAAAGGTAAATGTACGCCGTAATTTTACTAGCACACTTTTATCATCTTTTAGGTGGAATATTCTCTTTCTTTAAAGGTCTGGGTTGATACGTACAATATTAAAGCGATATAGACCTTTTTATACACAACCGAATCAAAAAAGATATTGGGTACTTATGTTTTAACAGAAAATTGTGTAATAATAATAAATCAGCGCATTACATAATAATATGTGCTATTCAAATCCGACATAGGCGTTTAAAATTCAATTCGTTTATACATGCACAAATTTGAATATCTTTTATCTTTACTAAACCATTTTCTTTTTTGGTTATCACTAGCTAAAAACTGGAAGAAACTTTTGCCAAAATAGAATGAAGAGAAAATTTCCCAGCTCAGCTAAACTCTCTGGGCATGTGTGGCTAAATTGCGCAGGCCAAAACAAATAACACTTTTGCTAAATGCTGGCGAGCGAAAAACTTGTAATTCAATTGTGAGGGCCAACTTTGCCCAAATGCAAGCCAAATGTAATTAACACGCACACAGACACTCGCACAGGCGTTGGTTATGCTGCAATGGAGTGGCAAAACGACTTGTACACCTGCCAGACGAGCAGACAGATATTCCCGACCCAGCCCAGCCCAGCCCATCCCAACCCCACTCTGCCCAGGCCAACCCAATCCCAATCCGACTGCCGTCGATTGGCATGGAGTGTCCAGAATCACACTCTAACTCCGTGCTTGTGCGAATTTCTGCTGCTCGTGGGCAGAAGTGGAAACGGCCAAGTGGGAGGCTGCCTCCGTCAGTTACAGGCTTAATTGAGTTGTGTTCGCAGCATTTAAAAAGGCCAACTGCGCTAACGATCTGCCCAGATACCGTGGCTGAAAAAACAACATTGAACAAATTAAATATTAAATTTCCATAAATTTACAACGCGTCAAATAACACTATTAAGCCATTTACCGTTTATTATATATGAAAATGCACTTCAAAACAAAAGCAAAAAAACTTACAAATCATTTTGGTTTTGTTTTATTTTTTGTTGAATCAACTTTAAAATTTTGCGTTAAAAATTTAAAACACATATTTTTTCTATTATTGAGACTAAATTTCCCACAGTACGGGCGGCAGAATTCGAAATTGGATTAAATGCCGACGATTTGCAAGCGAAATTCTTGCCCCTCTTACTAAGCAGAAAACAACATTTAAGCTTAAGTGGCCAAAATCTAATGTAGTGGTAAGCGGAATGAAAGAGAACCCTTTTTTAAACAAGTTTGCGGCAACAATCGCATAAATCTAAACTATTTTTTAACAAACAAAAAAAGCATGAACCTCAGACATATTCGGTGATTGATGAATTGAGCGAGCGCAACGCATACGCCATGTGGGCCGGGCAAAAAATTGCAATAATTTAATTGAACATGCATAGCCAAACTGGCTCTGTCACAACGCTGCCCAATCCCACGAACTGAACCGATACCAAAGCCCAAGCCCCCAGAACGATTCCCGATTTTTGTGCAATTTATGGCTTTGGCCTGGATGCACTCGTCACAAATGCCAAAGTCGATTTCGCGGCCTCTCGCGTGCTTTTGAATGGCTTTCAATGGCTCGAAAATCTATGCATTTCGGAATATTTGTGTAGGGGAAGCGAGAGAATTTAAGGAGTCGGGAAATTCAGTTGTGTTAGCCAACAATCGAGTATTGGAAATCCATTTTGTCGGGTCTGAACAGTGCATGCGAACGCTGCACATTTGACTACAGAAGGCCACGGGAGCTGGCTAATGCGATTTGCGAGTGCCCTGCTGATTGTTACCGCCGATTCTGCCTCGGCCACATCATTTGCCGTTTTTCCAATGACATTATTTACTTAGCATTTGCATTTCCAATTTTGCATGCTGTGCATTGGCAATTGCCTGTGCAAACACATATGAAATGCCAAAGGACAGTGAATTTTACGTCTGCTGATTGCGCTTTTATTATGTTTATTTGGTCCCGAATAATGAATGGTACAATTAATTTGAAAGGGAAATCAAAAGGGGCTCAAGCTATCACAGAGTGACCAAGGGCATTTTGACCATTTCCCAACTGAAATGTGAACTCCTTCTGGAAATCGAGTTAGAAAATTACAAACAAGCTGCCAATCAATGGCAAAGGGCTTAGAATGCCCTTATTGAGAGACAAAGTGACCCTTCTCTGCACAGTTTTTAGTTTCAACTGAAAAATTAAATTTGTCGTTTCAGTTTTTTTCCGATTCTTTGTGCGCAACAAAATAAAAGTCGAACGTGCATTCTCAGCCATTTTTCGGGCCAGTCAAATAGAATGCCTGAAAACATTCTAAAAGCATTTTCAACATGTTGCTGAAGCATGGAAAATTTAAAAAATTTGTTATACGCCGAAACTATGAGTTCAGCCTTTCCTCCCCAAAACCAAACTGGCGATGGCAAAATGTTTGATTAAATTTTCATTCTCGAAAGCATAAATTGAGGTTATTCATAAGCATTAAAGGCCTCTTACATGGGCTCAAAAGTTTCAAATCATTTGGCCTAAAATACGGCCTCCAGGTAAATGCGATGATGAGGCAATTTACTTGTGTTTATTTTCGGCATTCGTTTTCCCAGAGTTTTTTCACTTCTTTGCCGATGTTTTACAGGAGCCCTCCCCAGACCCTCGAAGCATTGAGATGATTAAGTGTTCGCTGGCAGGGCAAGTATTAATAAACTTGTGGCACACACTTTTCCACAGCGAGCGGGAAAAATGTGTTTGTTCGGCGAGGGAATGACCACCGAGCCGCAGAAACGGCTTGTAAAGGGAGCGACAATATAATTTAAATTTATTTAACAACCGACTAGTAGTAAAGCGGGAGGGATTGGATGGGAACACACACTCCCAGACTTAACAGTGAGAACTGCAGTACAACAACATTAAGTAGCTCATTAAATTTCCTTAACCAACAGAACACAACACAAACAAGCCACTGGCAGACCAACTGACTTTTCGTTTTTATTTTGTAAGTAGGAAATATTATAGTAGAAAAACGGCGCCAAAAGAAATGAAATCTCCGGCGAGGGCGGGTCAAGGGAGGCGTGGCGGCGGTCTGCCTCAGAGCGGGCGAGCTGTAAAAAACCCCGTAAGTGTATTTTTATTGCGTATAAAATGCATTTTGCAATGCCACACAAAACTCAAGTGGTGTGCGTTTTGAGCGGAAGTTACGACCAGCGGGCTAGGACCTCAAACACACAGATACTCGCCGGCTTGTGGATGTGTGGGTGCTTTGGTGCTTATGTGTGCGCCACGAAATCATGATGTCGGAAGTTATGCACTACGAAATCAAGGAAATCGTATGAAATTCTTTCACTTTTGCTGTTTTTGCATTTTTTAAATAGTGTTCATTTAGAGTAAGGCAATCAAGCGGAAGCAATCAGAATACTGGAACATTATTTAACTATTTATGGTGTACCTTTTGAACACAGCACGAGCCCATAAATAATTGAATTTACCACAAAATAAAACATTTTATGGGTTGCCAACTAGTTTGACTTTACCGCAATTGCAGTCTTACAAAAATATAAACGAAATTGGAAGAAATTATTTGCAAAAAGGAGCATAAACTTACGGAGGTAAAATATGGTTTTCTCGCACAACTATTAAACCGTTTTTAGTAAAATATATATGAAATATCTGTGAAACTCCCGCAAAAGAAACGCGATAATGTCTCTTTACCGCAGTCTATAATGAGGGAAAATTATACAGTCCTTAACAGCTTTGAATGAACGGAACGAAACACTACTCTGAGCACTCAAATATTCAAGACTTACACTACTTACGCTTAAGTCCGCAGCAGAAGTTAATCATATTTTCCGCAAAGCAAACTTCCTCAGCCAGTGCAAATACCCCAGTCAAGTAAAACAAACGAGTTGGCAAGCAATGATTGCTCAGCAAGGCTACTTGTTGTTAAATATGTTACACAAACAAACAACATTCATTACACCAGCAAGTGGGTTGCTTCGAAGGGAATGAATGGGTCTTAAATAAAGGATCGTTTATGAGATAGTTGGCAAATTGGGTGTGCGGCGTAAAAATCTGAAGGTATTGCCAGATGGTTATAGTTCGGTACTTTGGTGAAAAGTTTAAAGTGAAGAAGGCATTTCCGACTTAAGATATATCATAAGATCAGCATCACCAGGAGAGTCGATCTTGCCTTGTCCGACTGTCCGTCCGAACTTTTTAAGCTATCTGGATTAAACTTTCCCAAAAGACATTATATAACTCCTATAGGAACAATCAGAAAGAAAATTATAAAAAATTTAAGCTTCGTTTTTTTTTAAATATATATATTTACATTATATTATTGTACGTTAGAGTAATAAGTAAACTAATGTACCTATAGTTTGTTCTTTAAATGTGTCCAATGTTAGACATTGCTCCTTGAGTAGCAAACATAAATCGTATTCCATTCGAAAGCGCTTATGAATGATAAATGGTCCTTATGTTGGGCTGAGTAATATATATAATATTTAAATAAGTTGGGTACAGGTACTTTAGCCACTGCTTAGCCAGTGCGTATGAGTAATAAAAATTCGTTGCTTTACGATGAACAGCTTGTGGCTTGGCAAGCTTTAAGTTATGCATAGTTTGGTTTTTTTGACGATGCTCTTTTCGAGCGCTATTAATTATAATTTTTTCTCCGGCCACTCTGGCAACATATGTATGTATGGGCACGGACACGGGTGTCGGCCAAACATTTTTAAAATTATATATGTGCATAAAAGGGAGCAGACACCGACACGGACTCTGACACGCTCACATGTGCCGGAAATTGGCGCACACCTTGCAGCCATGCAGTGGCAAGGATTTTTTCCATAAGCATCATAAAACCAGGACTGCCGGACGATGGCCAGCCATTGGATATATTGTGGCGTAAATGGGGGCTGGGGCAGCTCAGCATGCGGAAATTATAATTTATAGCTCTGAGCTGCGGATGCCAGAGCTTCTCGTGTGTTTTTTCCCTGTGAGGGCTCTTCTTCTGAGAAGCGACTTTAAAATTGGTGCAACTTTGGCATTAATTGAAGCTGGCCATCGAGGTTGAAAGCCCACTCAAGCATGAATCATATTCTATGGCAGTTTCCAAGTGTCAGAGTGTGCCGAGAAAAAGGCGAGAGCCTCCATTTTTGTTAATACCGGGTGTTGCATGAATTGGAGCGGAATATTCTCTTTGTGTGCATAGTTTAAAACGGAATTAAAGCTCCATTCTATCTTGCCAATGATTAAAACATCACACTCTAATGCCCATAAATTGTTAAGTCACATTGAAAACAAATGTTTTATTTAATGACAGGCCTGACTGCATTCACAGCTCTGGTTTCATGTCAAATTACTTTCAGCTGACGAATCATTCATGATTGTTTATTATTGTGGGCTATGCAAAAACAAAACAATTAATTGTATTTGATTAATTTTAAAGAAATTTAGCCACGGGGATGCCTGAGTTAAAGAGCAAAATTTACATGACGGTTGCGTGCCATTGTTCACTAAGTAAACATTTGTCCAGTTGACCTTTTTCAGGTGTGTTTACACAGAGCAAACAAAGCTCGACTCAACTGGTAAAAAAATGGCCATAAACTAGCTTTTGACAAATGACGCACTTCCTGTCATCGCACACAATCACAAATGCATACATTTGTCTCATATCGCGAACTGGTATAAAAAAGGTCGAAACAATTGCTCCGCGTTTAAATATGAATTTTCCACATAGTTACATTGTTCAACAATAAAATAATTTATTGTTTGAATTTATTTATGAATGCATCTGCAAATTTAATATGCACAAACGGCAGTTTGTTTAAAAGCAATTTAGCGGAAAAATGTAAGCAGATGCGGATTTTATTCATCACTTTTTCGCTTACTGCCTGTAGCTAAAAATCTTTTTGTGAGAAAGATCTAATTAAAATTTAATAAGTTAATATTAACCGGTATTGTTTACTGCTTAAACCGCCCACAAAACATTCACAAAAAAATGTTTCGCCTTTTTAATTTCAGAACAGGAAAATACAACAGATTAATTGCAAAATTAAATTTATCGGTTTCAGATTTTTTCCATGAAGTAATTATCCCGCTATTGCAAAACATAATTGCAAAATTAAATCTGCTAATTAAGCCATTGCCAAATGGAATAAATGGCAGAATTTACTTTGCAATTGCATAAGCTTTAGCACCCTAAACCTAAATCGGTTTTCATGAGATATTCGACCCTGCGTTTTTCCTTTGGAGTCATTTGAAAGAATTTGGAGACAAAGTTATTCAGCTCTCGCTTTGTATGCAGAGGGGGCCAACGTGTTTTATAGCACAGGATACTGGAAAGCGAAGAAAAACCAGGTGAACTTTGCGTTTTCATTTTAAACTTTGAGCTTACTTCTTCAGAAAAAACTGGTCGCAGATATGGCGTTGATTGGCAATGAAGTGCTCCATTTCCTGCAAGAACTGCCGTTCGTACATCGCCTTGGCGTCCAGATACCGAACATAGCAATTTAGATCACTGTAAAATAGGGCAGCTTATAACTAAGAACTCAACACATCTGCTATAGCCGCACTATGAGAACTGCTTCATAGCGTAGCTGGGATGCAAGCTGACATCGGCCTCATCTCGGAACCAAATCCTCGGCTCCCACCACTCGTCCAGTTCCCGGAGGCTATTGAACTCGAACCGGGAGCTCAGCCCTCGCAGGGAAATCAGGGAAGCGGACTTGGCCTTGGTCAGGAACTGCTCCACCTTCTTGGTCTTTTCTTGGGCCTTGGCCATCAGACTCTGGCTAAGATGGCTAACGGGAACCTTCTTTCCCCGCAGCACATCCGCAAACGAGGTGTTGGAATTGATGTGTTCAATGTCCACTGCGTCCATATTGATAATTTGTCACTGCTTTACGGGAATTTCAGAGCCGACAGACAAATGCGTTCGAGTTGTTTTAAATGGCATACTTAAGCGAGCCGCACTTTGATCGAACAATTAATGCTTTAATAAATATGTCGCATAGCTGTCATTTTGAACAGCGTGCGTATCCTTGGGGATTTTTTTAAGCCGCTGGTGTTAATTAATAAAAATGGAAATAGCCGAGAATATCGTGCGGACTTATCAAACGATATCTGAAAACAGGACAGGCTGCCGCCTTTTATTTACAGAGCCATTCACATGGGCATTTCAAAAATCATTCATTAATTTTTTAATTCAACAATCAGGCTGTCGCAAAAAGGCGTTGAATAAAATCAAAAAAAATCTCTGTAAAAATATCACATGCAATTAATGCAGGCAATATGCATGCAGTTATGGTAAGGGATACGTATTGCCACAGTTGCCGACACAAAAGTTTCCTGTAGGCGTATTTATTGCTTTGGTCGATTGTCGATTTGATTGATGATATATGAGAGTTTTTGGGCCATTACAGGCCATTTTTGGGAAAAAATGGAACATAAAATAAAACTCTTGAGGAGACTCATGCTGAGTATTTTAATTTTCAAATTATTATTTTCGGTTTTCCAGTTAAAATAAAAGGGGAGAGAAATTAAAACACATAATGGTCAGTTCTAAATGAAACAGCTAGTCAACCCACATGTATGCTCATTATCCAGGTTGGTTAAATATTAACTTCAAAATAATTCCACACATATTCGCACCATTAAATATGCATTCGCGCATTTAATTATATTCTTTGAACCGCTCCGAGAGGAGGAAACAGAGCCATCCGCTGGACCGCAGGAGAGGCCTATCGAAAGGGGAATAGGAGCTGCCGCTGACAGGAGACCTGGCCAAATGTTTGCCCGCAAGAACATGGCCAAAATGCTGTGTCTATTAAGAGCACATTTAAGCAAAGACCGGTCTCCGGCACGTGTGCAATGAAAACAAACGAGCCCATTATTGTTACACTTTTCTTTGGCAGCCCGGCCGCACAGCCCATTAATGATGTGTTATGGCTTCAAGAGGCCGGCCTAGGCGATCCTTGAACTTTGACCAGGCTGAGCCTCTGAATTGAACTCTAATTGCACATAATGAATTGCACACATTAGGTCAATGAACAGTCCGGACTGCCACAAAGTGGCTAATGGAAATGCAATGAACTATTTATGGGCATTGGTAGCCGGCTGGCTAGAGTTTGATCACGCGCACGGATTATTAAAGCCGGATTTCCCTTTAAAGTGGTCCCCGTAATCGTGGCTGTTTTCCCTGGCTTTTTGTCCGGCATTTTGGCCACCACGAAATTGACAGCAGCTCCCCATAGCGCGTAATGACAAAACACTGACTAAAATGTTAACAGCAAATCCAATTTATTACACCGTCGACCGGCGACGGACATTAATTAGCAAACCGAACACGTAAAAGGTATTAAACGCAAACTCAATCTGCCAACAGGGAGAGTGCCAAATAACAGAGTGGTTGATCAAATCTGGTAACGCACGGGAACATCTAAAATTGCCGCAATCGGCGAAAAGTTCCCGCAAACTTGCTTCTTTAATAGCTGCATTTGATCTGGTTTTGTTTATTAGAAATACCCCTGCATGCGATTAACAATTAACATTTAAAATGTCGATGGTCAACGCGAATGCAAACAACATTTAATCCCTTATGTTAGGGGATTACGAATGTAATTTATAAGCCCCTCTGAAATGACATGAAACCAGACGTGCAAATTGATTTCATACAAGCTGCAAAGTCCATTAAGGAATTAAGATTACTTTTCACTCTGCCAATATTTTAAAAAATATGTATATTTGTCAATTATTTTACTTCGTTACTTACGGACTTTGCAACAGCAAAGTAAAACAATTTCACTTATGCACAAGTATTTCATTTTGCCACACAAATTCATTTTAAGCCCTCGCTCCAATGTCCCCGAATCCAGCAATCCAGATATAATCTCTGTCAAACCCACACACATTTGCACAGATGTTTGAACAACTCAACTGAGACTTAAGAGATTTTGCAGCTTCCTCCATTGTTTCAGGGTCCTTGGTCAACTTTTAATTTATTTGATTACTGCGAAATTGCGCACCTTCTCTAGTTGAGGAGGCAGCAGGATGACTATGACTTTTGTATAGTTTTGCTGGCAATTAATTTCAGCCATGGCCTCAAGCATTATTCACGTCAAGGCGGACATATTTTAATTTGATGAAGACCTAATAGGGTTTCGAGCATATGTTCTCAGCAAAACTTGTGAAAGGGAAAAACTTTAAATGCAAAACTTGTACGACAAACGATGGCGTTTCGGATGCGGTTTTCTCCAACATGCAGAGATAACCTCGGCAGTACTTAATAACAAGTCAGATTTGGGTCGAACCGAGTTGGCGGAACACCGCATTCCTGAGTCATCAGGTTAATTCAATTTGAGTTGTAGGAAAATTTTGCACAAATTAAATGCACAAACTTTTGCCATTGACAGACACACACGCCAACCTAGAGCAATAAATTTCCAAAGTGTTTATGTAAACGACTCGGATTGTTGTGGAGAAACACAAAATGAAAGCCATCGTCTGGCTGCACTTTGTCACCAGGCATGCGGAACATAATGCCGATTTTTTCGCCTGGAAAATGGCAGGGTGATAATAAATCTTCCGCTTGGAACAAATCACAGCCATTCCATTATGTACACATTTAATGATGTTGCGAGCCAAAGCCGCCAAATCCGAATCCCAATCCAAAGAAACGAGCCGGAGACAATTACTTGCAGCCGCGAGCAAATTCTATGGCTTCTTGCAGAGAAAAAAACTGGGGCATGATTCCGAAGCATCAGTAGATGTGGGCTATTTTTTTTATTTTTCCAATTAAATACTTGCGATGGCAGCTTAGTGAGTTTAATATTAAATTTAAAACATTTGTTTTCTCATTTGGAATTCGTGAAGTTGTTTTTTAGTGTGTCTTTGGGGCGAAAGGTTCTTTTGGTCTTCAGCGGGTGCAGCAACATGGCCAAGTTGTTAAAATAATCACAAGGAATGGCCAACCTGCTCAGGGAATTCCCCACGGCGGAATAGGAGAGGAGTGAGTGGTTTTCCGAGACAAAGACAAAGTTGCAGTGCAGCTCCGCTATTGCGATTATTTTTAATTAGCAAAATTTCTTTATGCATTGACAGTGGCAGAAAGGTAAAGGCAAAGTCTTTCATTAATTAGAGCCAGCCGCAAAGTATGCAGCCTTTTTGTTGTGTTCTCTCCCCCCAACACACGGAAAAAGTGAAAATAGGGAGAAACACCCACATGTGGGCACTAAACTTTCGCCACCTGCCTAGCCTCAACGTCATCACCTCGGCTTTATATTTACCCATAAATCTGCCACGAAATAGAACAGCCCGCAAAAAGGCGAACATGGACGGCGACAGAGTTTTCCCTCGGGAAAAATATTTCCCACTGAAGCTGCTTATTAGCTTTGACATTCGAGTGCGATGCACTCTGGCCAGAGGTGTTTCGCTTGATGTTTTGCAATCTTCGTTTCGTCATCCGCATATACATTATTTTTTAAGGGCCGCATAAAACATAACTGAGGAGGAGATGGAGGGACAACATAATTTATTACCCGCTGTCATGCAATTTTTAAAGTTTTGCCAGAAGTGGATCTCCTAGAAAAACAGGGAGAGCATACAGAGAAATTATGTTAGATGGATATTGTTATAATTCTACAATCCAAATAGTGATCTTTTTCGGTGTCTTAATAAAACATTATATTAAGTAAGAAAACATCTTGTAACCACAAAGGGACTATAAAAATATGTATTTATCTTTACTATAATGCAATTTTTACGACCATTCAAAGGATATTATAATTTTAGTCAGAAGGAGACATTTCCGTAATTAATCTTGATTAACTTGTAGCTCGATTTTAAAGCTATCCGTATAAAACTTTGCCAAAAGTCGGCACTGGTCGGACAAATACATATATATCAGCCATTAAACCTACAAAAAGTCTAAAAAAATTTTAAAATATAATTTTGCTGTTTCAGAACATCAATGCTTATAGTAAAATATAGGATAATAATAAATCAGACGACATTTTCGTTATAGATGCTAGGTTCAACTGAAGTTTGCCATTGTTTTAATTGTTTATTTAAGTTTAGCTTTCATTTCATTTGTATTTTTTTAAAATAATATATACTTTTTATTAATTAAATTTATTTATTTAGCGCATGTTTATAATTTTTTTGGCATCATTGACCTTTTTTGTCAATTAAATAAAAAGCAAAACCGAAAATGATAGCGTTTTAATCCGCAATAAGGTGTTTTAAAGTCGTCGCTCCTAATTTCATTTGTCTGCAATATTTTGGGAATATGTCGTATGGAAATACATAGTTGTCTTAAAGTTTTTATATGAAAGTATCTTGTCTGCTGACCTCAATGCGACACATTATGCCCAACTTTCAAGCTTTGGTCTTTGCCTGCAACGCTATAACCACAGCCAGGCATCGAGTAGCCAGCTCACCAAAAAATATCATAAAACTTTGTAACTTTTCCGTTTCAATAAATGTGTGTGAGAAGGCGGGTCGAAGGAGATAGGAATAGCAGCTTCTGAGCCATGTCAAAAATGGCTCGCTCACGTTGCGTTGTTGACCGCACCACGCTCCAGAGCATAAAGCAATTACTGGCCGTGCATTGAATCCTGCCGCTCCTTCAGATACTCGGGTCCTGCTGCACGCACCTCCCGGCGGCACTTTGATTTATGAAATTTTCCGGCATCAGACCCGGCTCTTTACACCAGCAACATAGCCAATGGTTTCGGGTTCGGGGGAGCAGATTTGATTTCTAGTCTGTCATTGACTTGACTTGACTTGGCTAACAAACTTTCTGACGCCACTGGCATGTGTGCTCGCACACGGGAAAAATAACAAGAAAGGAAAGCTAACTTCGGACGGAGCCGAAGTTGATATACCCTTTTTTTTCATATGATGTATTCTTAATACTCATAAAAAGTCCCAACTTCCTAACTTTAAAAACACCAAAGTTAT